TACCGTCAGGCACCTTGGAGGCTATGGGCACTACATTGACAACACCTGAGCTAGATGAACTACCCCTGTGCAATGCATGTTCTCTCTAAATGAACTGAATTATTACTGCATGCTACTGCTATTAACATGCAAGCACAAAGGGATCTTTTACTATGTGGCTTCCTATCTGTACTTCTGGGATAGCTCTTCAAAGGAAGCCATTGCTGGCTTGTTCTATGCTATACTTCATCACCACTCCTGCAAAGAGAAGTACTGCTAAGCAGAGTTCAGGTAGAACAAGGGGCTAACAGATTCCCACCTGATCCTATAAAGCAGTATGTACTCCAGATGTGGTTTGACCACAACTTCTCTGGCCATTGGGCATATTAGCTGACTAACTATTTTACTGTTTTGTGTTTATGTAACCTGCCCTGGGACTTCTTACATTTCAAGAAATGAAATCACTCAACAAATAAATGACATCTCGAGGGCACCGTGCTGGCTACTGCTGCTATAATGCACCCAACAGTCTCTGGGAGAACTGCTCTCAAAACTGCTCACCTCTTGCTTATTAGACATCACAGTGCTCAATTGTTTTCTGGCTCTGTAATTGCTCAATGCGAGACACGACAAGGAAGGAGGCATTTCCCAGCCAGTATTTGGCCATGTGTCACTTGCAAAGTTTCACAGACGTTACGGAGTCCTTTCCCCAGTGCTGCTACAAGATGGGCAGCAGCAGCTTCTCCATCTTGTTGCTCCTCCTCTGTTTCCTTTGACTATCTAGATATTGTGAGGCCTTGTAGTTTAAACACTGGGCATACTGGGACCTTAAGAAATGATATCTTTGGCTTATGGGGTGAAAGGAGAGAATGGTGTTCAACAGCTGTATATGTTGGTTCTACTTCCTTGCTACATATTTTTTTGGCAGGGCTGTTTTATTACTTTTTAATTCATCTTATTAAGCGCAAACTCAGCCAAGTCAAATCACTTCATTAATTAAAAGGGATTGGAAAGGTCCTTAACTTCCAGATTCCGCAAATGCCCAAAAGCTCAGGCCTGTTTACAGGAGGTCGTATTTCATTTACTGCCTATGTCAAACTGCTACCCATCAGGCCTTTGCTAGGCCCCTGAGACGAGCCAATCAATGTCTGCTTGCTAAAGCCCCTCGCATGAATCCACTTAAGCAATGTGGATGCTTCCTGTCTAAAAAAGAAATGGTCTCTTGGTACTTCTGATAGAAATTAGCCATGAATTAGAAGAGAAGCACAGTTGTTTTGGAAGGAAGCCAGGACCAGAATTAATAGGCCATCCAAGCCTCTTGAGTGTTAAATCCCATTTGTTGGCAATTCTTTATGAAAGGCTTCCTCTACCTATACCAGCTCTGACCTAGGACTCACCACTTTCTTCAGAAACTAATATTGTCAAATAAAAATTCAACCAGCTGAAAAAACATGAAAACTATTCCCCTTAGCCATTTGACATTTTATAAATTTTTACTGAATATTTGTACTTTTTAACTCCCTTGACCCCAAAGCTATCTATTTTTTTCCCTTGGTCAAATATCCCATCTCCTCTTGGCCCATCACATTCAAATAATCCATCTCAAGCATACCTAGTCCACTGATATTAATGCACTTACACGGGAGACCTATTTGGGTCACTGCAATTTTTAAATAGAACTTTTAGAATCTTGTGGATGCGGCTACTGTGAATTTAATTTAATTATTCTGTGCAAATATGAGTGTACTTTGAGTGTAATACAATGTATACAGGGTTTTTTTTCATTATCAGTTTGATGTGTTCTCATAAAAGCTATAGTAAAGATTTCAAAACTCATCACAGAAAAGAACACTAACAGAGCTAGGTTTCTACATAAGTGACATGAGCCTATTCAATGACCCTATAGTTCCCTCATTTTGAAATTTAAGAATACATACCCTTATACATATTATTCTTTAAAAGATCCATTTCTTGGTGTCAAAGTTGGCTATTAACAGGACACTTAGATTTGTTCAAAGCTATAAACAACACAACCACATACATTTCTAATCATTAGTAAGCCCCACTGAGTTTAGCAGAGCTTACTCCTAAGTAGTACGCATGGGATTGCAGTTTAAATAGTCTGTCAGTCAACATTTTCTACATTTGATAATTCACAACTGTTTAAAAATACACTTTTTCCATTGGTTCTGTTCTGTACTTTCTTTATAACATGGGAAGCCTTCAACATTTTTGTGATATTGTTTTGCTATAGTTTTGGCCGAGGAGTTTTAGTGTATTGAAACTAAGTCTGGAATGAAAGCTCCTGTCAATTTCATGGGAACATTACCATTTTTCTCAGAGGAGGTGGCTTTCCTTTAAATATAAGATGGCTTAGGGTTGATTCCCCCACCCTACTTCATTTCCTTTTTTAACACAGGCAAAAAAACACTGTCACCACTTTAAGTGGCAACTCGATGGTCCTCAGCATTTTGGCAGCATTCCCTTTCTAATTTGGGACATGATGCCCTTGGGAATGTCATGACATCAGTACATGCAGCTTAACTAAAAGATGAGTCACTACTGCACAGGGACATCATCAGGACTTGAGCAGGCCAGAGGACTGAGCCAGATATGCCTTGCAGAATCGATGTTGCCTACCTTAGACCTGGGGGTTGCCACCGGCGCACTTCTGTAGGCAGTAAGCCTCTGCATGCCAGTTGCTGGGAATCACAAGTTGCACTCAAGGCCTCCTTGCAAGATGCCAGACTTGATAGCCCTGTGACCTGACTCAGGAGGACTCTTCCGTTATCACCCAGTGAAGGGAGGCAGTAGAGAGGTTACAATCATTGTATGTTTGCTGTTCAAATCTCAGCTCAGCCGTGAACCCACCAAGTGGTCTTAGATGAGCTAATATTTTCCAGCCTCAGGCCCTCTTTGGTCATATCCACATTGGACAGCCTTTCAACACTGTTGTAATGGAGGAGGAGGAGGAGGAGTTTGGATTTGATATCCCGCCTTTCACTCCCTTTCAGGAGTCTCAAAGCGGCTAACATTCTCCTTTCCCTTCCTCCCCCACAACAAACACTCTGTGAGGTGAGTGGGGCTGAGAGACTTCAAAGAAGTGTGACTGGCCCAAGGTCACCCAGCAGCTGCATGTGGAGGAGCGGAGACGCGAACCCGGTTCCCCAGATTACAAGACTACCGCTCTTAACCACTACACCACACTGGCTCTGGGAATGCTCAGGGAAAGCAATGTACTGTATAGGATACTAAGGGTTGCTAAAATGTTGTGGTGGATGGCGTTAGAGGGGGATTAGACGGTGGTTACTGGTCATGAGATGACGCGGGTGGCACTGTGGGTTAAACGACAGAGCCTAGGACTTGCCAATCAGATGGTCGGTGGTTTGAATCTCCGTGACGGGGTGAGCTCCCGTTGCTCGGTCCCTGCTCCTGCCAACCTAGCAGTTCGAAAGCACATCAAAGTGCAAGTAGATAAATAGGTACCGCTCCGGCGGGAAGGTAAACAGCGTTTCCGTGCGCTGCTCTGGTTTGCCAGAAGTGGCTTAGTCATGCCGGCCACATGACCCGGAAGCTGTATGCCGGCTCCCTCAGCCAATAAAGCGAGATGAGCGCCGCAACCCCAGAGTCGGCCACGATTGGACCTAATGGTCAGGGGTCCCTTTACCTTTACCTTACTGGTCATGACACCTATATAAATGAGCAGGATGCACCTTGCAAGTCCTGTCAGTGCAAGCCATCCCTGAAGGCTTCCACTTGAGCAATGGGGCTTTCCCTCTCTCCTCGCCTTGCCCCCCATTATCTCTGGAGGAGAGATGGGATTATTCCCAGAAGAGACAAAGAGTGGAGGAGAGGGGAGTTGTCCCACCTGGCAAACTGCAGTGCTTGTGCTGACAGAGCATTCATCGTAGAGCAAGGTTGGATTCCATCCACCGTCCACAGGATCAGAGGCAATATGATTCTAAATACCACTTGCTGGGAAGATGAGTGGAAGTGCTCCTTTCCTGCTTCTGGGTTTTCCATAGGCATCTGGTCTGATCCAGGAGGGCTCTTCCTACGTTCTAATATACAGCTACATGCTAGACGTTCACCTTGCACACCTGACCCCGACGTTTTGTGCTTTGTCCCTTTATGAAAATGTTATAAGCTTCCAATTAGAACATGTGCAGCATTCTCATACATAAAGAACTGGTCTCCACAACCTGACTATATTGCATGTGTGCTTGTGCCAGATCACGAACAATGGACCATTTTATATTCTAAATGGTCTGCTCCCAATTCGATGCTCTACAATGTAAGCATTTTGTTCTACTTGGTTAGCTCTTTATGGGTTTCATTGTGCATTCTTACCTGACTGGTGACATTCATGTCAAGATTGTTCTCAAACACTTCAGATTTATTTAGCCATGCTAATTCCTTCCAGAAGTACATTTAGAGCAAAACACTGGAATGGTTCCCCCCTATTGAAAAAATGCAAAGGACCATTTGATTTGAATGAATGTTTATGCTACAGGATGGGCTTGATTAACAGTGAGGGCCATTGCCACATGGAGCAAAGCACTGTGGGTAAAAGACAAACAAAGAGTATCAGCCTAGCTTTGAGTAAACACCAGCTCACTTTTCAGAAGTTATGATATACATTTTATATCTTTTGTGGCAAATACAACTGAAACAAAACAATCCCAAGGACCAGATGCACTGGAACAATGGGCCATTTCAGCTGGAGAAATAAAACATATATTGGCTCAAACCTAAACAAGAATAATTTGAATGAGGTGGGTTGATAAAGAGCCACTTTTGCTGGAAGGCTTCTAAGCTTTTCCTATCCACAGAAAATATGCTGATCTACCCTGTATCTTTGAATTGGCTAGTGAATCTCATAATGATATAATGCTTACAGGCACACAAGGCAGCTCCATTGCTGAAGCAGCTCTGAGTCTGGTCAATGCCTGGGTGGATGAGCCCCTGGGAACCACATATACACCAAGGGTTCCATGATAGATGAGATGCAGGGTACAAATGTGCACGGTTTGTCAATGCGTCTGGCTGCAAACCAGAAGGTTGGTGGTTCAAGCCCATGCAGAGACAGAATTCCTGCATTGGAGGGGGTTGGACTAGATGACCCTTGGAGTACCTTCCAACTCTATGATTTTGTTACTATGACTTTTAAAATAAAAATAGTAGTGGCTCTTCACACTCCCTACCCCATCCCCATCCTTCTGTCCATCCTGCTTCCTACAGCAGAGAATGGTGGAAGTGGGAAAGCTGTTGCAAATTTCAAGTGGAAATGTGGCCGTCCTATCTGTAGTACCTCAGGTTACAGACGCTTCAGGTTACAGACTCCACTAACTCAGAAATAGTACCTCGGGTTAAGAACTTTGCTTCAGGATGAGAACAGAAATCGCACGGCGGCAGCGGGAGGCCGCATTAGCTAAAGTGATGCTTCAGGTTAAGAACAGTTTCAGGTTAAGAACGGAGCTCCAGAACAAATTAAGTTCTTAACCTGAGGTACCACTGTACAATAAAATAGAGGTGGTTTGTCAGTTCCTGGGATTTACATTGGTGCAGAAAGACTAAGATTTGTGCCATCAATACACAAATGCCTTGATCAGTTTTTGAATGCATTTACTTGGTAACATTTCTCATGATTGGAACACAATGAAGCACTACCACTGAGGATGGGCAGGTGGAGAAGCTCATGGGTTGAAATGGCCCCAGTCTCCTTGAAGCCAAGGCTGTTATGCCCTCAGCTGGCCAGCCCTTCGTAAGCTTCCATGAGAGCCCTCCAGCCTCTTGCAAGATCCCATCCTTGCAAGATGAAGGAAGGCTTATGCCCTGGGAAGGCTTTTGCCATCCTGGGAGTCCATGCACCGCCAGGTGCAGCAGTCACAGATTTTGTCATTCATGGGTACGGCGTAGCTCGTAATCTGAAAGCAAGAAAAATTGCCGATTCTCCCCTCTCATCCAAATTTTTATGTTGGGCTTTGAAAGTATATACAAACTACTTTCCAGGCCACCGAGACAGAGTAAAAATGCAAGGATTGAACAGCAGCAAAGTGGCATGTTTATAAGTCTAGGAAAGGTCTTTATAAGCTGATTGAGAACCAGAACAGTGATGAAGTATAAACCATATGGGATGAAAAATAAAGCAAGGGAAAAGTACTGTACATAACCTGCTAGCTTCTTGAGATCAGATCGCACACACATTTTAGAAGATGGTTATTCAAAAGTGAATGTAATAATAGAGCAACATCATGACAGGAAAGTTTTAATCTATCCCACAAGGGATTTATCACTTAGGATAAACATACATGATGTCTGCATAAACAAGAGAGAATCTATGAGCAGAGGGAATGGAACCTGAAAATTCTTTGTTAGAGACCCCAAGCCCTCCTCACAGAAGTCCTGGGGAAAAAGAAAAAGTATTGAACCAGTTTAAATCTATGGCATAAATATGTCTTTAGACTTCCCCTATGCTATTCTTATGCTGCTTTTATACTGTTTTCATACCAGTGCTGAGCTGGTTTTATGTTGATCTTACATTATTCTACTGTATATTTTATGATTTTGTAAACCACCCCAAAAACAGAAATGTTGTAGGTAAATAAATCGGTGTACACCAATTAAACAGGAGTCGTTGATCACATATATTTTCTGGATTGTGTGTAGTGTGTGTCCATCCTCTGGTAGAAGGCAATTTGATCCAGCAGAGAATTCTATGTGCACAATGGGAAGGAACTCAATTGCTCCTCTCCCTTGCAGCCCCCTCTGTCCCCACCACCATCTCCCCCAGAGCACTAAAATCAGGGACCTTTGGGAACATTATAGAAGGTGGTTTGGGGGGGGGGGTGTTGCAAGGAGTGATGGGCAGTTTCTGAAGATCACCTCCTTTCCTGTTATGCTGACAGAAGCCTCTGCAAGAACACCACTGGATATGACATGGTCCAAAATATCTGAAAGACCTCACTGGGTGTAGCTCCACCAACCTCAGAAGTTCAGAGATGGTGGCCTGGGAGAGGGCATTCTCTATGGTGGCACCTACATTGTGGAATTCCCTCCCCACAGAGGTGCACCTGGGACCTTTATTATATAGTTTACATCATAAGCTAAAGATGCTGTCGCCCACTCTGAGATCTTACGGTGAAGAGCAAGTAAGAAGGTTAATAAAAGATGATGATGACAACGAAGATACCACCCCATACATTTTTCAAGGCTTGTTTTGTACACTGTAAAAAGACAAGGCATCTTGAGATCAGGTCCCTGATTTTTTTGTTCAAAGGTAGTGCTTTAAAAGGGGGGGAAGGGTTTAATGAAGTATGTGTGGCAGCCACTTCAATTTATAAGGTCAAAAAAGGATATTCTTTTTACCTTGAAAAAGATGCTGTCAGGACTTTAACTGAGCCGAATGACTTGAATTTCATTATAGCTTAAAATAAAAAAGATTTTTTTAAAAAAGAAGAAGAATCCTAACACAATTTACAGCCTTTGTTCAACACATCAATACAGATATTTGCATAAGGTATTGATTACAAGTCATTATAATCACAAAATGTTAATTACGCCAATTAATTCCCAATCTGTTTTTACCCTATCTTGTTTGCCTTGAGCGCAGAAGGTTAAAGCCAGAGTGACTAACTTGTGAGGTTTTCTCTGCTAAGAACATTTCTTATACGGGAAACACTTTCATTTTAGGAATTTGTATCTTTTCCCTTTATCAAGCTTGAAAGCGATTATACCTTGTAAGGACTTCTCAGATGTATTTGTCTCATTTAATGTAATATATCTATATTAAGTGCAAACATTAATTATTGAAGCTATCAGAAAAAAATTAATGAAATGCCTTATTTTTGTAGAACTACTTACAACTTGGATTTGATCAGATTGCAGTGTGTGGTATTCAACTACTATGTACCATCAGTGCAAAGATTTCCACTTGCAAATGAGACTTCCCCACCTCACTGCCCACCCTGCACCCTCCCCAAATCTACTCCAGAGGGTTGGAGGAAACTTTGGGACAGATTTAGGAGGTGCACAATGGGAGGAGAGAGGGAGAACATTCTATTGCACAAGCATAAATCTTTGTGCTAATACAACATCCACTTAGTGTTACATTGGCTCTTTTGTGGTACCCAGCCTTAGGAATACTCCACCTTGTGAATGATGTTTGCCCTCCCCACTCCCCTTATTTCACCAACTAGATTGATTGATTGATGATTGTATTTTATTGTATCTTATTTTTATCGTATTGTAATACGTTGTCCATTGCTTTGGGGGTCCTCTGAGTCCAAGAAGCAAGGTGAAACCAAACCACAAGTATACTTTATTAAATTGTGTGCTGTATTGCGGAAAGTGTTTCTCCCAAAAGGCACTGAGCATTGGCCAACCTCACCCCTGACTACTGCAGTTCTTCATGCAATAGTTCAAGCTGTTCTGAAGAGTGACAAAACCTTCAGGAGCAAAGGGGTTGCAGAGGGAGGTGGGACAGAGTCTACAGTAAAAAGGGCAGATCGGGGAAAATTGTGTGTTCCAGCTCGGGATGTAAGAAGGCAATGACTTCCATTCCAACCAATCTTCTTCACAATCCATTCAGCTGCAGTACAGCTTCCACCAAATACTATGTTATTCACCTTACTGTCCACTATTTAACATACGGTACATAATTATTTACATAATTTATGTAAGTTAGAAAGTTAACATAATTAATGGCACAATTATTTCTACACCATTCATTTCAGTGTAAAGGAAATGGATAGACAATGTAAAAAAGTCATAAGTTATGTATTGGTTGTAGACTTTAAAATGATAAATAGATTGATTTCTGTTCTGGACCTGTGATGAAAATGCAAAGAGTGGCAACTTCCACTTCTGATTTAGTTCTCCAGCATTTCTCACCCCAACTTGCACAAACAAAAGTCCAACTGATGGTGCAAAACCATCATCAGCTATAACCCATTATTAGTATTTTCATTTAGTGTCTGAATTACCAAACTCTGCCTCTTGGCTACAAAATCCTCAAATGGGGCATGCAGTTTCAGCATCTCATTCAAAAAGGAGATTCAATCACCATTACATTTGTGGTACATTCCCTGACATCAAATGCTCTAATACAGGGAATTTTCAAATTCTGAAAGCTATAGTGGTTGGATTTTAGTAGCTATATATTGCCCAAATACAATCCATGTATTATGAATGTTCTCCACAATGTGCCTAAACCCTCTGAGGTTAAAGCACCACTGACAACAGCAGCTTTTCAAATGTATGTATGCACAAAGATTTGTAGAGCACTTTTTGGACATTCTGTTAGATCATTTTTAATCTAATCCTCTACGAAAACCTTCCAACCAAGCCCTTTTGACATATCCTTAGTGTTGACTTCCAACAACCAATTATAAATCTTTGAAATTAGTCCTCTAGAAATATTAATTGAGGAATTTAACCTATAATTTATTGTTTGCATGATTTATTTTTTTCCCCTGTGCAGCTGAAGCAACAGCCCCATGAAACCCAAGGAAGGGTAAAATATTTATGGGCAATGTGCTTCATCTTTAAGAGACAAACTGGGAAGCCCCTGGGAGGCAATGCTGCTGAGAAACCTGCCTATAGTGGCTTGGTGTCAATTTGCATAACATTACCCAGAATGCTTTGTGGTTTCACGTTAGTGTGAAGAATGTTATCTTTTCCTTTCATTTAGGGAACAGATGGCAGCACAGAGGGGCTGGTTGATAGGCTGTTTGATTTAAAGGTTTGTTCATAATGCAAAGGGGTGTCAGTGTGGTTGCTGTATTAACATGGAGTGGAGGAAAGAGCAGGTCATTAGTGATAGCTCTGCATGCCAATCAAAAATCAACTGGAAGCAGGGATATCTATCATCAGATTGTCTTAAATTCTGTTCTCATAGCAAAGGTGTGTGCAGTCCATGTGTGGAGGAGCAGCACATCCATACCTGCTGGCCTGCTCCCAGCTTTTGCACACGGATAATGTCTTTTGAACCAGGTATGCATGGTAAGCTTGATCTCCTGCACAATCAGCACATATCCGCTGTGGTAGAACCATCAGATGTGACGTACCTGCCTCCAATCTGCAGGGAC